GGTCTGACTTGGGAAATCCTGTTAAATCACAGGAGATTGTCATCTCACTGTAACAAGAGTCTATGACAACAGCAGGTCTCTATGATGAGCTTTCCTGGCTATGATCCCATTTACAGTTAGCAAAATTTCACTGGAACATCTTCCTTCTGTTGGATGGAGCCCTGCTTTCCCAGGAGCTCCCAAGAGACCTCTGGGCAGCCTGTACCCCCTCCCTTCAACCAGGAAGTTGCCTGTTCTCCCAAACGCATTCACTAGTCACAGACAGAATGACATTTTCACCCAATCTGGCCACAAAAAGTGGTTTATAGCCGTGACCAAACACAAGTGCACCACTGCAGACTACTTAAAAAAGGCCAGTCAGGTGAAAATCTGAACCCTCGTTGCATGAGAGTTCAGATGAAGACATTTCAAAACAGCCTCTTCTGTAACTTGTATCTGCCTGCCTGGCAGCCTCCGAGCTGTTTTCAGAAAGGCAGATGGGAAAGGGAGTGGAGAGAGTTCTGGAGTTTGTTTCAATTCTCACTGGAGGGTGGGGTGGGTGTACCCGAGCCCCCACTGATGTGTGGGGCTCCGATTCATCCACCCCACCCTCCAGCACTGGCTGGGGAACCTCCAGAATTATCTCCCTCTGCTCCCTTTCCCCACTCCCATTTTGCAAGCAGCGAGGTCTGGCAAGGAGGGGAGCTCTTGCTAGGGGAAACCAGCTGCAGACTCTCAAGATTTCTGTTAGTGTAAATTAGCATCTTACCAATGACATCAACAAAGCTTCACAAATTTATGCCACCTGAGGACTCATTCAGAAGCAACCAGCAAGTGATGAGAAAGGATGCATGAGGTAGACACCTGGCAAGGATAAGGGCTAGAAACCTCAGTGGGATAAGGGCTGCTGGGACCTGGGAAAGGAGTCACTTTCTTAGTCTTTACTTTTTCCCCCCTGCGCTTCATTCTGTCTCCTACTCCACAACCCAATCCCTTTTTATCACAGGAGAGGCTCCCAGCCTCTTTAGACTAGCAAGCCCCAAATCTTCAAGACTAGAGTTGAGTGTTCCTCCCATTCATAGGGGCAACTTGCTGCACGGTTGGACCAAGAGAAACAACTATGTTATGGCATCCATTTATTTATATTTTCTTCCCAGTAGCAGAGTCCAGGTTAGGACCAATGTCAGATTCTAACCTTCTTTGCTCATTATTTTCATTAGGACCGTCTTAGAGAAGAATTCTTAAAGACTTTCTGAGAACAAGGCAATCGTGAAGCAGAAGCAGCTTCCAGGAGCATTGCTCAGGGTGCAATACCTTGAGACAGCGTCCCTCAGTGGGACAGACTAACACTCACTTCAGGACATGAAGTGCAAAAGGATAAAAGACATGGAAGGAGGAAATTCCCCGTAGGAGTCAATCCTGCCAAACGGCTTTCTCCTGATCCAGGATGTGCTGCAGTCTAGCGACGAATCGCACAGAGCTTATATGGATGGGGTTTCATTGTGGACCCAAAAACGATACCCATGTTGACTTCCGTCACTCCCTCCGGCAGGGTGAATGTGAATGCCCGCAGCAGGTGGGATAAAAAGAGGAAGAGCTCCATCCTCGCCAGTAGCTCCCCCACACACACCCGGTGCCCTGGAGAGGGAAGGAGTGCTGCATTAAATACCCAAGGATTTCTGGAGCCACCTCCCACCTTCTAACCTGCATGGCTTTTTCATAGGCATCTTTGCTCAACTTGACATTTTCTCTCAGGCCTAACTGATCAACACAGAAGTGCAAGTCCTCCTGCACTTCTCCATGCACTTCTCCCATCTGTGGTTACAGGAGGTAGACACAGCACATGATAGGAACTGCTCAGTATGATTTCAGGCCACACTTTTTAGTCTCTAGGAGTTGCTGATGCTATGAATATCAAATACTCTCTTATTCTAACCTGTCTCCTCATGAGACTCTTAAGGAAACTCTGGGTTTATCTCTGTTTCCAATTCACCCCTGTACTGGCTCTTCTCCTATGACACACTGAAGTCCAAGTTTCAAACACATGTGGCATCCTGCTTGCTAATGCTTTCCATATATATGGTAGGGAGCATACAGACCTGTACTGTGCTATTTGTTAAGCAACTCATTCAGCTGTTGCAGCAGGGACTTGACTATATTTCATGTAAAAAAGAAGACTTGATAGCAACCTCTAAGCAAAATTTCTACAGGATGATTAAAGCAACCCAGGAAATGACCTCTGCAGCATTGTTAACCCAGCCTTACCAAAGAGCCAGTAGATGATGAAATAAACAGTATAAGGGAGCTGGTCAGACACCTGAGATTCCCCTTAGAGTTAGTAGGTCAGAAAATTATGGGATTCCTTAAAAGGTGCTTGTAGAAAAATAATAGACTAGTATGTCTGTTGCAATTAACTGCAATAATTGCTATATAATTATTGCAGTTATTCTGTTGCAATTCAGAAAGGCCACAGCAGGTCTGAATGTTTTTGACACTGTGAATACCTGCTTGAAATTTGCAGTCTTATCTTGTCCATCATGTGCAGGTGTCTGTGCACCTGACAGTGCTTATCACTGCCTTATCTGAATCTGTATTTAATTTTCAAGGGTGTGGCAAAAAGAACCCCTGTGTCTCCAGGACTCCCACCCACATCAAATGAGAAACAAAGACGTATATTTTCAGTCCAAAAAACTGGAACCTGTGAAATACTAAGCAACTCAAAACTGAGCAGTATAGTAGAAGGTGCAAGGCATGCTTGCCTATATACCTTGCTCCTGCATTGCTACTGAGTCTGTTAAAAGAGAACCTACAAGCAATTCCTGTATCTAACATTTCTCATCATGACACTTTGTTCCAGTTGTTTAAACTTTAAAGGAAACTTTACCACTCAGACAAAGTTTCCTGTGCCAAATGTTTTTGGCAGGGGTTAGACATGTGCTGTCCCCATCCCCCCCAAAATTCCTCTAAATACAGCCAAGGTAATAGTCTCTGAAAAATCACAATTCACCCAAATTTCTATCTGCACTGGGTGTGATCAGTTCTGGGACTGTTCCTGAAATTATTCTTATGGAGGACTTCAATCATCCTGACATCTGCTGAGAGGGCAACACAACAATACAGAGGCAATCTAGGAAGTTTTTTGGAGAGTGCTGGAGACAACTTCCTGTCCAAGTGTTGGAGAGACCAACTAGGGGCCATGCTTTTCTTGCCCTGCTGCTCACAAACAGGGAAGAATTGGTGGAAGATGGATGGCAACTTGGGCAGCAGTGACCATGAGATGACTGAGTTCAGGATCCTGAGGAAAGGAAGGATGGAGAGTAGCAGAGTAAGGACCCTGGACTTGAGAAAAGCAGACTGACTCACTTAGGGAACTCATGGGCAGGATCCCCTGGGAAGCCGGTCAGAGGGGGAGAGGAGTCCAGGAGAGCTGGCTGTACTTGAAAGAAGCCTTACTGAGAGTGCAGGATCAAACCACCTGGATGGGCAGGGAGACTATCAAGTGTGGCAGAAGACCAGCTTGGCTTAGCAGGGAACTCTTCAGTAAACTAAGTCACAGAAAGGAAGCTTATAAGAGACGGAAACTTGGATAAATACTTAGGGAAGAGTATAAGAACATTGTTCAGGGATGCAGGGATGAAGTCAGGAAGGCCATTGTGCAATTGGAGTTGCATCAAGCAAGGGACATGAAGGGAAACAAGAAGGGTTTCTACAAGTATGTCAGTAGCAAAAGGAGGATATGGGCAAGTGTGAGTTCCTTCCTGAATGGGGGAGGCAACCTTGCAACAGAGGATGCAGAAAAGGCTGAAGTACTTAATGCCTTTTTTGCCTCTGTCTTCACTGACAAGGTCAGCTCTCAGACTACTGCACCGGGCAGTACAATCTGGGGAGGAGGTGAGCAACCTTCAGTGGTGAAAGAACAGGTTAGAGACTACTTAGAAAAGCTGGATGTATACAAGTCCATGGGGCTGGACGGGATGCACCCGAGGGCGCTGAGGGAGCTGGCTGATGTGATCACAGAGCCATTGGCCATCATCTTTGAAAACTCATAGTGATCCTGGGCTGCATTGGTAGGTGTGTTGCCGGTAGGTCAAGGGAAGTGATTCTTCCCTTCTATTCAGCACTGGTGAGGCCACATCTGGAGTCCTGTGTCCAGTTGTGGGCCCCCCACTGCAGAAAGGATGTGGACAAATTGGAGAGAGTCCAGCAGAGGGCAACAAAAATGGTGAGGTGGCTGGGGCTCATGACTTGTGAGGAGAGGCTTAGGCAATTGGGCTTTAGTCTAGAGAAGAAGAGACTGAGGGAGGGCTTAATAGCAGCCTTCAACTACCTGAAGGGGGACTCCAAAGGGGATGGAGCTGGACTGTCCCCAGTGGGGGCAGATGACAGAACAAGGAGCAACGGGCTCAAGCTGCAGCAAGGGAAGTTTAGGTTGGATATTAGGAAAAACGTTCTCATGAGGAGGGTGGTGAAGCACTGGAACAGGTTACCCAGAGGTGTGGTGGAGTCTCCATATTGGAGGGTTTTTAAGACTAGGCTAGATAAAGCCTTGTTGAGATGATCTATTTGGGGTGGGTCCTGCTTTGAGCAGGGGGTTGGACATGATGACCTCCTGAGGTCCCTTCCAGCCCTCATTTTCTCTGATTCTATGACTAACTCAGAGTGGGGCTTTTCTATACTTTGTAAGAAGCAGGTGTCAGGAAGAATGGAACTGAGCAAATCTTGCTCACATGAGTCAACTGACATGCTCCGGAGCTGGAAGTTTCTCTTAAGGCTCTTCTGGGCTCACCCCAGCACCTGCTCTTAACCACAAACCCTGCAGAGATGAAGAAATGGCACTGAGGATGGTGAATTTCCAGCTCTGGCATGAGTCAGTAGACTGAAATGAGCAGGGCATGCTCAGCTCCATCCTGCCTGAGTCCTACTACTGATGCAGTGTAGAGGAGTCCCACCCCTCCTGCACTCTTAGTGCTCCTGGAACTGGCCCTTAGGTAGCATTAAAGGGAAAGGGGGAAACCCTGACAAGGGGAAATCTGAGTTCACTGAACAGGAGAACAGGAGCACAAGAGGAGCAGGGCAGCAGGAAGGAAAAGGGCAGAGCCAGAGGGAGGGAACAGAACAGGAGGTTCAGAACCAGGCTAGATTTCATAGACTTTCATAGATTTCATAGACATTTGGGCTGGAAGGGACCCCGGAGGATCATCGAGTCCAGCCCCCTGCCCAGAGGCAGGAAGTCAGCAGGGATCATAGGATCCCAGCAAGATAAACATCCAAAAGGTGTCTTGACGGCGTTCAAAGTAGGTGCTTGAACCACCTCTGGTGGCAGTCTATTCCAAACCTTGGGGGCTTGGACAGTAAAGTTCTTCCTTATGTCCAGCCTGAAATGGTCGCAGAGGAGTTTGTGACCATTCGATCTTGTCATCCCTTGGGGCGCTCTGGTGAACAGACATTCCCCAAGATCGTGGTGAACACCCCTAATAAACTTATAGGTGGCCACCAGATCACCCCTGAGCCTGCACTTTTCCAGGCTGAAGAGTCCCATGGCTCTCAGCCTCTCATCATAAGGTCTGTTTTCCTGACCTCTGATCATGCGCGTGGCTCTCGTCTGGACTCTCTCAAGCTTCTCCACATGCTTTTTGAATTGTGGAGCCCAAAACTGGACGCAGTACTCCAGCTGCGGCCTCACCAAGGCCGAATACAAGGGGAGAATGACGTCCCAGGATTTGCTTGAGAAACAAAGATGTAGTCTTTCTGGACTTTAGGAAGGCCTTTGACACTGTCTCTCACCCCATTCTCATTAAAAAACTAGGGGACTGTGGCGTCGACACCTACACAGTCAAATGGGTCGCTAACTGGCTGGAGGGCCGCACCCAGAGAGTGGTGGTGGACGGATCATTTTCGACCTGGAGGGCTGTGGGCAGTGGGGTCCCCCAGGGCACAGTCCTCGGGCCCACACTGTTCAACATCTTCATCAGCAACTTGGACACAGGGGTAAAAAGCACCCTGTTCAAATTCACAGACGACACTAAGATGTGGGGAGAAGTGGCCACGCTAAAAGGAAGGAACAGGCTGCAATCGGACCTGGACAGGTTACAGGGGTGGGCGGATGAGAACAGGATGGGTTTCAACACTGACAAGTGCAGGGTGCTGCACCTGGGGAGGAAGAACCAGCAGCAGACCTACAGGTGGGGAACTCCCTTCTCGTCAGCACAGAGGCAGAAAAGGATCTTGGAGTCATTATTGATGCCAAAATGAACATGGGCCGACAGTGTGGGGACACAGCCAGGAAGGGCAACCGCACCTTGTCGTGCATCCACAGATGCATCTCG